TCTAGTATTTTCAAAATCATCATCCGTGGGATTTGAACTCTAGACCTGCTGCTTGAGGATGCAGCAACCCCACCACTTCACTAGGTCGCCGCACCTTGGTATCTGTTTTTCTAATAATATAAATAAATAACTATTTAATCTAATTTATACAAATTTAGGACTAGTTAGGATTAGAGTAAGGGTTATAGTGTATATTAAAGTTAGATTAGAGTTAGAGTTTGTGTTTTTTTATATTATAATCTTATAATATTTTTATATTGCCTAGTTATTCTAAAGAAGATTTAGGAATTGCATTATTCTATAAAAAGATTAATAGTTAAATTGTATGTATATACTATATATACTTACCAGATATGTACAAACTATATATATATAACTATATTAGTAGCCTATATTCAAACAAATATGCATATTGAGAATTACTATTAATATCAAAAACAAGTCTGATTTTCTTTTTTAAAAATACTGAAACTGAAAGTAATAACTGTAATAACTACAGTTAAACCTCTCTATAATCACACATTTGGAATACATAAAAGCGTGATTGTAAAGAAGTGTGACAATTATAGAGGTTAAATTTATTATATTTAATAATAGTTTGTTTTTAAATAAATGTGTTTTTAAAGAAAATGTGCTTATATAAGAGGTGACTATAGGGAGGTTCGACTGTATATTAAAATTTATTAGATAAATATTTTGTTGAAAAATACAAAGATTAGAATATTATAAAAAAGGAAACAAAAGCTATTAAGTGGTTTATAAAGGCAAAAAATAGTTGTACTACTGCTAGATATTCACTTTGTGTTGTTATTATAAGAAGTAAAATTTTATTTTTAAGTTAAATAATTATAAGATTCTACTAATAAGAATAATGTTAAGTATTATATTTGCTAGAGTTATAGTATTAAAAAGATAAGATATTAATATTAAAATATAATACTGAATATTATATAAATTTAGAGCATATAAAAATAATAAAACAAAATTTAACCTTTTGCACAAATTATTTATTTATTTTTAATTACTTATTTACTTTCAAAGATTATATTATTATTAAACTAAATTATTACAATAAGATAAATTGATTTTTGTTCTAATTATATAATTAATTTTTTTTTTTTTATTTATTGAATAGCTATAAAAAAAAAAATTCAAAAATAATTGATATAATTTAAGGTTAGAATTTAGCTATAAATTTAAATTGTCTATTTTTTATTGAAAAACAAAAAAAATAGAAGCCTCTAATAAATTATTAAATAATTCTAATAAATCCTATTTTGCTTGTAGATTATCTGCTAAATGATTAATATGTCTACTGAATTCAAATTTAACTACTTTATTATTTATAGTTTTACCATTTTCTAAATGACTCTTAGTATTCACCATTTCTATCCAACTTTAATTATATATAAAATATAAAGTAAATACTTATTTGTTACAAATAATTGATCAAATTCAAGTGCTAAATAAAAGAGTTACTTCTAATAGACTTAATTTCTTCTAATCTTTTTTTTTTATAAAAGTAAATTACATAGAGTATTATTAAAAAAAAAATATGATATTTAGCTTTCTATTATATTTTCTATTAAACTAAATTTAATTTATATTTGGTATAAAATATAGTTAAAAGCTTGATAGTAAGTTTGTTCTTTAGCAGTACTTATATTTATTAATTTATTGAATTTATTTTTGAAATTACAAATTTAATTAAATTGGCTAAATAATTATTCTTAGGAATTATAATAATAGCTATAAACTACTATAATCCAAAAAAAAATAAACTTAAAAGATATAAACTTAAAAATAACTCAGAATATAAAATATAAAATATAAAAAATAAGAAAAAATATACAAGAAAATACAATAAAAAATAGAATAAAAACTCAAGAACAACTCAAAGAAAACACTATAAAAACACTATAAAAACATAATAAAAAGAGTATATACATGATAGTAAGTATATAGTCAAAGATATATTATTTATTTATTAGGGAAAAAGTTAAAAAAATAGAAAACAAGACCTATTTTGCCTTGGACAAAAAGACAAGGTTTTTATATTTTTTAGAACTCTATAGAAAAATAAATAATATTTTGTGTTAACAGGTCTGTATTAATAGGTTTGTATTAACAGGTTTGTACCAATAGGGCTGTGTCAATGGGTCTGTACTAGTGAGTCTTATATCACAGAGTAACAGATTGTTATTTATTATCTTCTATAGTTAAATATTTTTAAATCTTATAACTTGTTAACTATTAACCTAATTGACAAATGGTAAAAACTAAGCTACGAAACTTAATAACAAAAATTCTATTGGTGGAAACAGGTTTGTACTACAATTATAAGTTATACAAAGTTACTTAATAAAAATTTAAAACTACTAATATATTATTAATATAACAATATACTTTATTTTCTCTAATTTATAAACTTCTATCTTTAGCTATTAAAGTATTTCAATTTAATAGTCTAAGAGATTAAATTTGTCAAACTTTTAATTTATAATCATTTTAACTTTAGTATATACTCTGTAGTATATATTCTTTTTCTCTAACTTGTACTCTAAAAGCCTTAGTTGGTTTTATTTATAAGAGTATATTGTATTCTTTCTTCTTTTAAAAATATATTATATTTTTATTTTTAAAAATCTTTTATATTCTTATTTCTAGTTTAAGTATCTGTTTTTAGTTTATTTTTTTTTATAATACTATTAAAAATTTATATTATTTGGTTAATCTTTAATATATATAGTTATGCAATATAAAATTATTATAAAATTATAATATATAAAAATAATTATTTAAACTAATTTAAGCATATAGTATTTATAAATAGTTAGAGTTAGAATAAAGATTATAATTTCACTAACAACAACTCTCCCCGATAATCACTTGAACTTTATTTTCTTACCAACGGAAACAAAATTTTCTGTACTAGAGAGTTGCCTATATAGTTATATATAGTAGAATAACACTATACAACAGTTTTTATAAAGGTCAACTAGTTCGCTTTCTAGGAACTTCTTTATATTTTCGATATACAAGCCAAAAGCGTTAGTATTCAAGATAACTGGCAAGAAGGTGGTGCTCTTGTCTACAAAATTTTGGTAGTGTGTAAAACACACACTGTTGACGAAGTTGTTAGTAGTAAAATAGCAAAGAAATGAGTTATTCGACACACTCTTTAGAAAATTCAAAGGTTATGCTTCCAAGAATCCTCCACCATATTCTTGCTTTTCTTTGGTATTTTTTTAGAAATTTTTTTGCCAAAAAGTGGGAAATCCGGCATACCCCCTTCAAAAGATCTACAATGTTTACCAATTCTAAATTGGGAACAGGTATTGCCAAAATAGGCCCCAAAATAGTGCAGAAAGGCTACTATATACATCTGGAGCTTCTAGAAAATTCTGGCAAGCTTTACTCTATCCTGAACATATACATATATATAATACATTAAATTAGAGTCAAGCATAATATAATTTTTACAATAATTAGACTGAGATTTAACACTTGTACTGTCTCGTACCTTTTTTGTCGAATTTTTTTTTCTCTTGTCTATATTTTGTTTTTATTTTTCTTTTTTTTTTGTTTTTACTTTTTCCTTTTTTTTTTCGTTTTCTTGGTAAAATCATTTAGTTAGTTCCCAACTTTATCTTTTTGCCCTTTTTGAAGAAGAAAAAATTTAAGAAAAAGTAGTTTTAACAAAGCTAGCAATAAGCTTCTTAATGAATCAGAGATATAGCTCTAGCAAGTTAGAGCCCCAATAAGAAAAGGTATTATTGCTGTGTGAGGTTGCATATAGGTACTTTGGTAACTGGGTGAGTCTTTATTGTATAAGGAGAAAAATTTATAGTTTTTATATAATTTTTTTTTTAATAGCCTATTACTATTACCTCTTATAATAAAGACTGGACTGCGTATAAAAAAAAAAAAAAAAAAAAAAACTCTTTCTGATGATTACTTGAACTAATTTTCACACTAATAGAAGTGCAAGAAAACTCATGTTGGAGCATTGTTTATACTAAAGAATATAGTAGAATAACACTGCAAAAGGTTTTTGTAAAGATTAACCTTATCTCTTGGGTGACTCTTTTTCATATTTAACAAGCAAGCCAGAAGCAACAGCAAAACTTGGAGAAGCAGATAGCTGCCAAGTTTACCCAAATTTTGGTAACAATAGAGGAAATCATTGTTAATAAAACTCTTAGTAGAAAAACAGTAGAGAACAATACAAGTAGAAGTCTTCTTTCAAGCTATACTCATTTTTTGGATCAAGTAGTACTTTATCACTACTTCTTGCTCTTTTGTCAGTTTTTCAAAATTTTTCACAAAAAGTGGGTGATTTGGCTTATTCTTGTCAAAAGATTGATATTGTTTACTTCTTCTAAATTTAGACAACATTATAGATTGCAACTATGTGTTTCAGATTGTTTATAGTTATGTTTACAGTATTACCGATAGAAAATTAGTATATAGATTTTAATCATTTCCAATATTGGTTGTATGTTAAAAAGAATTTTATATTAGGATTTTGCCTTATAATAGAGATATCTAATATTGTATTAGTTATAATTTTTTAGTCTTGTATATAGGCTTAATAGTATACATTTTTTAGTTTTGTTTCTGTCTTATCTTTTGTTGTTAGTTTTTTGATTTTTTTATCTTTTTCTATTTAAGTACCATGCTATAGCAGTTTTTTAAATGCATATAGCAGCATATGTAGATTCTGTTAGCAAATATTAGTGTGATAACTATACTTGAGCACTTTCAAAGTAGCTAGGTATTAGCCAATTATAAATATTAGATAGTTTAGTTTATGTAAACTTATATATCTAATAAATTGTACAAGGTTATCAAAATAAAAAAATAAAAAATAAAAAAAATAAGGGTTTTTCTAGGCATCTCTGGCCAGAGATATATAGCTTATATATCTCTGGCCTTTCAACCAATCAGAAATCGATAAAATCACATGATTGAAAGTTCATGTGTTGATCCAATTGCCGATGCAAGGTCGGATGACATCGGCATACCAATCCCGGATACTAATAGATAAGTGACACAAGATCATCTTTGTTTGTTTGTTAGATGAAATTAATTTCGCCATAGTTAGAGCTGATGTTGGAGTCGTCGTTAATGGAGTCGTCGCTAATGAAGTCGTTGTTAATAGAGTTGGCATTACTGGAGTTGTTATTAATAAAATTATTATAGGTGCCATGTTACTGTTATAGGTAGGTTGCCTTTGGTCCTTTAATTTTCTTTTAGTTTCGCTAGTATTTTTTTCTTGTCGCATCTCTACTTTTCACCTTTTTTTTCTATAGTTATTGTTCGTGCCGTCTATCTTGGTACTACAATTATAGTAGGTGATGTGTCGCATTATTTGTATTGTTTTTGTACGGCTGGTGTTTTTTTTATCTTTGCTGTTGCATGTCTAATCTTTACTTTTCTTCTTATAATCATTGGTTTCAGTAAACTCTTCTTACTATTACTGGTTTTTTTACTGAAAACCATATTATTCTTGGGAACTCTTTTTCTTGTTGGCCTCTTGTTTGGTTCGGGTAACATGTTTATTTGTAAGTTGTGGTAAATAATATTAATAAGCTTTGTATTAAATCTGTATTATTACGCTGCTACAGTAATAACAATTTTAAAGCATATAATATTTAAAGAAGCCATACAAGCGTTAATAGCTCTAAAAATCTTTAATAGATTGAAGTTGGTCTACGAAACTCTTTGTTATATAATCAGGCTTTCATATGATATTTTAATTAAGTATTTTTTTATTTAATTAGTCAATGTATTAATTAATTTCTCGTTTCAATTTTTATTCATATGATTTAATGTTCTCTTAAGTATATAAATAGGTCAGGACCCGAAAAGTAGTTTAATCGATAAGTAGATGATAAAAAAAAAGTTTGAAGCCATTTTTTTTGTCAGACTTCAGCAAAATTACATGTAGAGATCGCTTCATTTACAGAATTAATCATAGTACTTATGCATGTTCGCAATATTTATCTAATCATATTGAAAGTACCCTTAGTCTAAGTTAAGTGATTATTTATTGGTTTAATTGGTCTAGGTATTTAATATGAGCTGTTCACGTCTGATTTAACTTTTTATTTATATAATCTATATTATGTAGATTGTTATAAACAGATCCATACGGTATAGGGTATGAAATACTCTATTTTCTGTTCCGGCATTATGTATTATTAAGGTTAGCATTAAAAAATTGTTTTTTAAAGAGATAATTTACACTCTATACTGTTTGTTGGTTAGGGTTAGGGTAAGTTGGTTGTTGTTAGAGGGGTTTAAATTAGTTGGTAGATTAGAATAAGTTAGTTGGTAGATTAGAGTCATTAGTTCGAACATGTATTATGCGACAATTCAATATAAAATTATATTTAATAAATGTCTCATGTGCTTTAGTATATGATAATACAAAACCGATTTTGAACCAATATTATAACTATGTGTTGACGATTTATAGACGATTTTGAAATGATATTTATTAAAATAGAAGCTTCGCCAATTTTTTAAAAAATTTGAGCGAAGATAACTTCACAACCACCTAACCAAATTTGCCAAAAAAAAATTTATTTGAATTCTATGAATCCATAAAATTCAAATAAAAAAAATTTCAGCGAATTTGGTCAAGTGGTTGTGGGGATATCTTCGCTCAAAGTTTTTAAAAAAATTGGGCGCAGCTTCTACTTTGATA